AACAAAGCAACGAATTGCCCTAATTACTAAGTTAGGGGAGAAAGGAAACCTTTCAAAACAGGGGGAAAAACTAAAAGACTAATTTACATAATAAGTAAAAAAGTATAACGAGCAATACAAGATCATAAAATGCTGAAAGCTGAGTTTTAGATAAAACCTGCACCATAATAACTGTTCTGACGTAGAATTTAGTCCAATTTTTAGCGAATTTCTGATCACTCAGAACTGGCAGGCACCATAAAGGAAAATTGCTAGTCTTAAGGAAGCAATCGTTAAGTTTTGAGCATGCTTCAAACATAATGGCACCATAAAGGAAAATTGCTAGTCTTAAGGAAGCAATCGTTAAGTTTTGAGCATGCTTCAAACATAATGATTCGATAATCCAAACGTTTAAGGAAGCAATCGTTAAGTTTTGAGCATGCTTCAAACATAATGATTCGATAATCCAAACGTGGTACAGTTAGAGCCCAGACCAGCTCGAAACACGCATATATTTTACATGTTTGACAAGTGAAATAAAAAGAAACAAGGGATGATTATTACTCTCCTTATGCATACTAAATGTGGTAAGCATTGCTTGGATTAATTAATAAATTGTTATGTCTCTTATAACTCTAGGGTATTCTTTCATATGATAAACCTGTAAAACTTTCCATTTTTATGACCAGGAGACTAACTTTTCGACTGCTTCTATATTCCTCTAATACCTAAAATCTTTTATGCGCAAACAATAATCCTTGGTACATATAGGAAAGTTATGGCTTGTATACTAATGTCACGTGCATAGCCCAGGAGGTTAGGAAGCTGGAAGCAATACTGTCTTCTTATACCAAAAGTAAACAACGTTACATCTTTTAGAACAAAAGACCACTTAAATTAGTTGTTGAACCTAAAACAAGCACATAACTTGAGAACATCCAATCAAGATATATTGTTAACATGACCTGTCTTCTATCTCTACCCTATGTTTCTTAAACTAATCAGAGATTCTTGCATTCAATCAAGGTTCCATGTAACAAACAACCAGTCTTGCGATCAAATCCATTCGGATCACCATCAAAACCCACTACTAGTGACAAGAATCTTATTAAGCGTGCAAGAGAGTAGAGTAGGACCTCAAAACAAAACAGGAAATAAAATGGGTAACTATAGGGAGCTCATTGGGCTCTAATTAATTACAATATATAATCAATTCAACTGATTTGATGTCAAAGCAACCAACTGAGCAAGTTAATTTTGCATAGGCAATTCCAGGTTCTGCAGGATAGAAGTAAATTAGACAGATAATCATTAAAAAATTACAAAACTAGAAAAACACTTAGTCGGGGTACCTTCTTGATAAATTGACCAACTTTTTATCTCTATTATAAGTTTCCTAAAAAACCCTAAAAAGAAATAACCAAAATGCCATGTATCAAGAAACAAATGACATTGAAATTACTTACGAGGTGGATTCCAAGGCTCGGTTGAATACACATTGAAATTGCAGATCAAATAGTTGGGGATCTCGAGCGCATCTCGTCCTCCGACAATCTTTTTGGGGAGGTAGAAAGTGAGCAGCTGATCATCTCTAGGCCCAAACTCGATTCCAGGATAATGCAGTATTGCCATGATCAATCAAATTGAGCTTGAAGAACGAACACCCTACCTTTGGAAACAAAAAGATTGAAGCTTTGATCTCTGGGGATAGAAGAATTAGGGCTAGGATTTGCAATTCTGGGAATCGGCAGCCAAATTGGAAACCCCAGGTTTGATTTGAGAGAGAGAGAGAGAGAGAGAGAGAGAGAGAGAGAGAGAGAGAGAGAGGAAGAGAGTATTTATGGGGGAAGAAATCCCGCCAAAACCAAGCTTAAGGATGGACCGACGAGATCATCTGATTAATGACCTTATCGGGTTTGGATACCTAATCTAATCATCTACCCGAACCATTTCCTAAAATGGGATCATCTGAATCATCCTAATACAAAACTAGCTTCTTCCTGATCTTTTCAGTTCCAGAGGTTCCCAACTGACTTGATATCATCTACAAACGTGGTTAGGCTGTTATTGACTAAAGATAAGGCCAAATCACTTGTTCTCATCCAAATAACCGCTTCCGAAGCTTATAAATACGAGCTCGGGTCCTCCTTTCAGAGGGGGATTAATTATCAAGAGGAGGAGGTGCTGCCGGATTGTGAAGTCAAAGGAGCACGAATTTCAGCGAGGGTTGACAGATCTTGGCGAGTTCTTCGGCATAAAGAAGGAGAGTTCGAGAGATCCGACACCCATTCCCGTCCGTCCCTTGAGATTAGGCTTGGTCTTAATCTCGAGAAGAGCTACTGATTTCGCTTGGTCGATCTCAGCGCTTCAAATCAAATTCTTCCTCGGTGAAGACGAAGCTCTGCCAAATCTCCCTGGTTTGTTTTGATAAAGTTGTAAACTTGTTTTATTTTCATTGTGTAAGGAGATCTTATAAAAAGATCAACTTTTTATTTTATTCGAGTTTATTGTAATGACTAAAGTTGTAATAGATTCGATAGCAATGAAAACAGCAAATTTCGACGAAAACAATTGATATTTCCAGTAAATTTAGAAAAATTGTTTTCTCCATACTAGTCCCTTAATTCTTTAATATTTTTAAACCAGTCCCTCAAGTCATTAAAATTGCTAGTTGGTCCCTCGGTTCTTTTTTTGCTATGGTTGCTCTTGACTGGAGGAACTATATTGAAATCATTGCAGACTTGAGGGTGCTAATAGAAATTACAATGATTTGCGGGACTAATTGTGAGACAACTTATAAGAATTGGGGAACTTGTAGCAATTTTAATGTTTGTAGTTCTCGAGTGATTCGTAAAGACCTCAGGGAAGAGATTGGAGCTGATAAGCTCCAGTGATTCGTAAAGACCTTCGCAGAGATGAAGGCATCCGCAGAAGCGATTGGAGCTGATAAGCTCCAGTGATTCGTAAAGACCTCAGGGAAGAGAGGGCTTGGAGGCTACGAGGCAGCGATTGGAGCTGATAGGTATTGGT